CTTGAAGCACCGCCCCTAGAGATACAGCAGATAACTGCTTTACTTGCCTATGACCTTGAAGTGCATGCCCCTAGGGCATGGCCTTTGGGTGACCTTTAAGACCTGAGATACAGGGAGGCAATTTCTCTTTGTTCCCTCTTGGGTGTGGATGCTGAGAAGGAAGACCAGCGTGGGAATATAAGAATTTGGGACTATAACTTGGCTTCCCAGGACCCTACAATAAATCTCCCATGATGTAATGAGTTTTTATCCCCTAATAAATTCCTTTGCTCATTAAGCAGACTCCATGGATTTCTTGTTATATCTGGCACCCCCCACATGGGTGGGCCATCTGTGGCCCTTATCCATGCAGAGAAGCTTCCACGTGAGCCAGCCTTTTACCCCTTCCGGCTCAGATCCTGCCCACAGACTCCGTGAGCAGTCCGTCAATCCTGGTATTTTGGGGGTGAAAGCAGGAAGATCAGGTTTCAAGGTCATCTTTAGCCACAGTGAGTTCTAGGTGTGCCTGAGTTGCATGGGATCCGGTCAAATTAAGAGTTCTCTGAGCCAGGCGGTGGTGGCGGTGGTGGCGGCGGCGGCGGCGGCGGCGGCGGCGCACACCTTTAATCCCAGAACTCAGGAGGCAGAGGCAGGTGGATCTCTATGAGTTCTAGGACAGCTAGGGCTACTATACAGTAAGACCCTGTTTAGAAAATAAAAAGTGTGCAGGGTGGGGGTGGGGAGCCACCAGCCGGGAAGGAAGTTAGGTGACTTCCTAACTTCAGATACAATGTGACCTCCGGCCTTAAGATCCAACCATCATTACTTCTGCCATCATAGTGGATTTGTACCTCTTGAACTGTCCTTAGATTGCCTCTTGTCAGGCGTTTGGCTACAGCAGTGACCGAGGTACTAATACATTGGCTGGTCTCAAACTCCTGGCTTCAAGTGGGGCCTTCTGTTGGTTAGGCGGGGGCGCTCCTGGCTGGTCACCACCCACGGCGGCCTTGCCGATGGATGTTGCGGTGGCGGAAGAATCACGAGCCATGGTTACCTTTCTAAAGCCTAGAGCTTTATTGGGAAAGGGGGGGGCGAGAGAGAGAGAGAGAGAGAGAGAGAGAGAGAGAGAGAGAGAGA